AATTTGGTCCGCAGACGCCTCGCGAGGCTGAAGAAAAGCCTCAAAACCAGCCGCGAACGCCAACACGACAGCGAGAGCCCTTGGTTGGGACCGCTACCGAGGCATCGCCTGAGAAATCCCCTCGATCCCCGATTGCCAAAGACGTCTCTGTCTCTACGCCTACAAGCATGAGCAAGAAGACGACTCCGTCGCGGTACCATACTCGCACTCCGACAGTGGGACAGACTCCTCCTTCGTCCGTCACCCAATCGCCGCAGCGGCATTCGGAAGATTTGGATAAGACACCAACGAAGGATGATTATAACGCAAGAGAAAATCCTGAAAGCCGAGGTCGTCCTTTGAAGGAAAGCATGCGACCAGACCCTGCGGTGTTTCAACCCAGGAGACAAGCTCAGGTCCCGAACTCGACACCGTATAGACAAGATGGAGCCCCTCCACCACCCGTCCATAGAACTCTCAGCACGAGCCCGAAGACCGAAGGGGGGAACATTAGCAAGTCGGCACCGGCCATACCGCCCCCAGCAGTAGATCACCATGGCAGTGATCGACTTAAGCGTCGCGGTTCTTCGCCATTGAAGCATGAGTATTTACCATCGGACCAGTCGTCAACCTCGGAGGCATACTCGACAGAAGAGTCCGAAGTAGAGTCATCTGACGACGAGATCGAGAGCCTCGACATCCCAGAAACCGAACTAGGTGTCAGTATCAAAGAAGAAGACCCTCGCCGCCCGCAGCCAAGCAGTACTCTCATGCCCGAGTCCGAGTGCAGCCTAACACCATCTAATTCGGCTTCCCAAGCCGGCCTGCACGGGCACAGCGTTGCTCCGGACGAACAAATTGCACGGTACATGGCTCGCATTTCCCGGTGGTCCGACAAGGGAATGTGGAAAGATATCGTGGCCGACCCATGTTCTGTTGTTGTTACGAACGGTCTGATTGAAGCATATAATTGTCGTACGGCATCGGAAAAGGCTAACATTGACCCTCCTCTTCTCGCTCTAGACCTGACGCCCGTGGTTCTCATTAGACAGAGCACCGCTGTTGACTTGGAAATTCGCTCATCTGTTCAATCTCACTCCAAGCTCTATCAGTCACACAACGGTGGAAACTTCCGATTCCGCTGTTTCGCTGCCCCTGATTGCTACAACTTGTACATGTCGGTACATCAAGCTCGACTCCACAATCAAAAATTCATTCAGCTCGAAAATGAAGCTAGGTTCAAGAGCTTCGGGGAGAGGCAGCCGCCTGAAAATGACGGTGAAACGAGCAGCCGACGACGGAGCTGGTTTGGTAGGAAGAACAGCTACCGGAGCTCGATCCGCGCTCCCTCGCAGTCTCACGATGGAGGTAGCACGCCCTCGTCCACGCCATCGGCATCCAGTTTCCTCAAGCGCCTGACAGTGAATGGCAACATGTCATTCAATATCGCTAGGTCATCCATCGACAGACGAAGCCGAGCCGGAAGCGGAGTGCATAGCCTATACACATCGGGATCATCATCGGCCAGCGGTACTCCTCCCCGCTCTCCGTCTGTCAGCGTGGCACAAAGCAGCCACCATCCAATGAATCTGGGTACGGACAACATCCGGATCCGACTTCATCTGCTTGTCACCCCGGCCAAATGGGAGGACTATGGAAATTGCAGTCTGCAGATCAGGCGACCACCGCCCGGCTGGCGCCAAGCGTTGAGGGCAGATCACGGCCTCGAAAAGCGCATCACGGTAACCACTTTGCCAAAGAAGGATAGTGAAGAAGCCAAGATTGTGCTAGATGCGGTCTTGGGCAGCGGTTGCTTTTCATCCATGGGGAGCCGAGGTATTGTGTGCGGCGTGTGGGAAGAGGTGAAGAATGGGGATGGCATTGTAGGAATGGTTCCGGAAACCGGTGCAACCGGCGGAAACATTAAGAAGTGGTGTTTCCAGTTCTCAAATGCCGCCGAGGCTAACGGTGTGCTTACCCTTGTACACCAGGAAGTCTTGCGGGCGTAGCGCGGCGTTTGTGATTTCCTTGTTCATGCTTTACTACTGAGTCTTGTTGTTGGACCATGGCTGTATTATTTTGATATCCCTGTCGCGACTGATTGAAGAATTAGATGTTGGTAATACTGTGGTGGGAAGAGGATCATGTACTGTATGGTGTTTTGTGCGGCTTTTTGGCGTTGCAAGCGAAGCGGTCTTGTTTTGCGAATTTGTTCTTTTGTTCATCATGTACGTAAAGACACGTGTTTAGACAAGAGGGCTATGTTGACATGGAGTTGGTGCCAACTAGAATTGGGAGAGGGAAAGGGGTTTTTGGCCGTAAGGGGCGGCGTTGTGCTGAAGTTACTCGAACAATATACTTATTCTGAACAATTTATGATGCGGCCTGAAAAATCAAGATTTTGTTCAGCACGGTTATCCGAGAAGGCTAGGATAGTTGCTGACTATTGATTCTGTTGCGTGGGCACCTTGATACCTAGTAATGGGTCGTGATTTATCTGCAGACGTTTCTCCCCCAACGGCCAACTCACATCGTTCCTCAAGACCTATCATGGATTGAAGTGAATTTGACGAAGCTGATTCCCCTATTATTTCTACTTGTTCTACACTATTCATCGAGCCTCAGCCGATCCTGGGGAGCCGCTGATCAAGTGGTCAGGCGCGCAAATGCGCTGCCAGCGTGATACCGGGTAGCGCTCACGTCTAAGCACGTTCTGCGGATATCCCGCGCCGGGCCAGCCTAGGCCAGGAATACGCTCTTGACCAAGGAAAAGAAAAAGGTTCATTAATTTTCAGAATGTCTCCTCGAAGTGCCCCCGTGGGCTACAAATTTCGCCACTGCAATGGCGCAAACGCTGTCCTTGTTGAAAGAGTTGTTTGGCTCATCTTGGCCTTGTGTACAGATTTGCAGCTCCTGTGCCAGCGCGTGCCATTACGGACTCCAAGTCGTATGTTTCTGGCTGGCTGAAAAGTAAAAACTAAGCTTACCGCCTGGACGTTTTCTATTACTTGGATGGACTGCATTCGATCCCGTACGACTATTGTGTTCGAGCGGGCAAGTGACTTCCTGAATAGTATGAAATAAGGACCAGCTCGTTCAACAGCATCCTAGTCTTCATGGCGCAGTTGGTTTAGCGCGTTGGTCTCATAAGCCCCTGTTTGTGATCAGATGAATAATCTGGGCCATCCAAAGGTCGCGAGTTCGAGTCTCGCTGAGGACAACCTTTTTGACTTTTTAGTACTGTTTAAAGTTCAACTAGTGTCTTGGTCAATTGTCTTTTTTTTTTGTTTATTCCACAATTCGGTCTGGTGCATCGGATGGATGCCCCGCTGCATTTGCGGTTAGATCACATGGAGTAAGGCTGAGCTTGTCTAAGTAGATACAGCAGCATTCATTACAAGGGGCATGTGAGCCCCAACATCTCACCATGCGCTTCAAATCTGCCTCTTTGGCTGGCAAGTAGACAGTTCCTTTTTTTGCTCTGTAATAAACAGCAGGTGCATTGGCCTTCATCTTGTCGTCTCTTTAAAGCCACTTTCCCGTATGTTGTCTGGGAAATGTCGTCGAAAGCTATTTGTTGGTGCTAAGAAGCTGTCGGCTTGTTTGATCACGGCTGCCAAGATGACCAAGAAAGAACATCTGTCAAGGCACAAAAATAAATCACACCAGCCTTTGTTGGGGTCAAGAGCGAATTGAGGGTTGGGTATGTGCTATTTTCGCATTTGGATGCAGGTCTCTTTGATGCATACATGTTGAAAGGAGACGCTGCCTGTACAAGTCAAATGTGCTGGTATTGGAGACATCCAGCGTTCCAAGCCAGAATAATGATAGAGATAATATTTTTCTGCGTTTGTTTAATGCAACAGACAAACGAACAGAGAACTCCGTGCTAACATGCATCTTGGTCACTACGCTTCGAGAAAGTGTCGCCATCGCCGGGGCATCAGCTTTAACACGTGAATGACCGCGAGTATAAGTGACATGATTCAGCAGGCGGCAAGTTTGAGAGTTCGTATCGATTCATGACACATATGACCATAGGGATGCGCTCAGCGGCCGGAAGCAGCAAGAACTAGTTGGTCGAGTGACCGATATAAATGGCCGTGCTGAGCTGTGCTGCGCCAGGACAAAGCGAGAAGACTCGAATCAAGGCCTCACTTCCTTTCACAGACTCTGATAGGTTGTGAAACTGTATGGTGTGGTTCGTACAGGAGGCCTAGCGGCAAATGACTGGGCTCTATTCGCAACAACATACGCACGTTGGCTTTGCATCATGCGAAGCAGCGCATGGTCCATTATCGAATGATCAGGTGGGCAAGCATCCCTCGGCCCAACATTCGTATTTCCTGGCGGCATCATGGGAGAATACTCCCAATTAGAAAAGAAGATGGACTCGTCGGTAGAAATCATTAGACGTCAGTTTTCATTGCTCGCTGTCAAGGCTTGCACCTGCACCACTTCCTCGCGGCTTGACAACTGGTGCCTCAACACCAGAGGACTTATATACCGACTATCTCTGTAAGGGTCCCGCGACCAGTGTGATATTTCCTATAATAATTTTCAGCTTCCATAGACCTTTGCAATGAGCGGCCAGGGTGGCAGCTCTAAGGCTGAGAAACCTCGCGATAGTATCGATTCCATCTTCAGCTACTACGAAAAACATTCTCTGGTTGAGAAATCTCCCAAAATATGCTCGTCAGGCAGCATTGTGATAGGGATAAAGAAAGAGGATGTTCCAACTCCGGATCGAGGACCAGCACTACAGAGGGAACTCAATGAGGCTAGGACCATCTTCACGGCTATTGGAAATATCCCCCCATCTGAAAAGGATCAAATGATCAAAACAGCAAATGCTAGTTTTGAAAAAAGAAATGATAACAAGTCAAAAAAAGACTAGTCATGAGAAGAAAACTGAGAGATGCGTTCTCGCATCATATACCATACAGCTCTTTGCTTAGGCACAGCACACCTACTCGTTTGACTTCTGCCTGATGTACAGAATATGTAAATCCAATGTTTCTTTACATATTGCATAGTTCGTCAGTACTATAATGAGGAACTAGGCTGGTGTCACGCGCCTCGCCCATTTTCCTGTCAATGAAGCTGTCAATATTTGTGCGCTCCTCCGTGTTCAACAAACACAGCCGATCCTCAATTGTTGTAAAAGGGCCAAAATACTTGGAGTCTATGAATTCCCAAAAGATTTCATCAAACATGCAGCTATGACGCGAGGCGAGACATATCCAAAAAAGTCCCGTCTCTAATGACTTCTCCATTGCGGAGGACAGACGCTGGGATTCTGACAGGGACCCATCTCTTAGCTTCCTTGCTTCGCAGTCCTGAAGAACTTCAAGAAAAATGCGAAACTTGGGCATATACCGTACCAAAAACTCACTGAGAGGAGACTCCCAGACCTCGGGACGCTCCAACAAGAGCCACCAGGGAGCAGCATGCGTAAACTCAACAGGGCCAGCGTAGGTAAACTCCCAGTCGACCACACCAGCAATGGCGAGTTTTGACGCATCGACGAGCACATTTTCGGGGCGTAGATCATCACAAAAGAGGCGAAACGGTCCGTTGCAATATTCTTTGGATATCTCGCGGGAGAGTTTGCGGAACAGGCAGCGGGCAATGTATTTCTTCCGGCAGTCGGCTTCATTTGCAACCGCGTCGTTGCGCTGATACTCGAGGTGGTAAAAGTGATGCTGGGCAAGCTCCTCGAAATAGTCTGCCGCGTTGCTGAAGTGCTGCTGTTCGAATACCCCATGTGGAATGTTGGACCATTGAGTCAGTCGATTCATGTTGTAGGTGAGTGGCCGCTTTGATACCGTCCAAACCCCAGCACTGTTCTTTCTGACGGCCCCAATAAACGGGAACTCAGGCTTCGACAGTTCCAGTAGCACTTCAGCCATGGCAAAGTAGGCTGTCCTTAAGGTGGACAGGGCAAGACCCGGCCTGAGTGTGTATTCAGTGTCCGACCGAGCTCTGATATACCCGCCCAACGCCTTTCCATCGACATAAGACATTACAATGTATGGACCAAGATCGCATTTGCCCGATCCCAAGACCTTCGGCATGGGAATAGCGGTGTGCTGAGCAAGATATCCCATCACAGCGACCTCATCTTCGACCTTCTCGGCGCGAGCCGTCACACGGCCAATGGCAGTGAAGCGAACCACGATTCGGCTTTCGTCTTCGAAGGTGATTAGATAGCAGACGTTGAATGCACCCTTTGAGAGCTGCTTGCCTGTTGTAGGGGTTCCAGGGTAGTGCATGCAAGCAAGTTTGGCGGCGAGCTGTTCTGGAGAATTCTCGAGTAGGTTTCGTAACCATACCTGGAAGAAAACATCTGATTGTTGTTCTGCTCGCGAATCGACGTCCATTGTAATTACTTGCTCGGGATAATGTGTGGGATAACATAGATGAAGACTGGGACGCAGCAAATCGTCCAAGGCACGCAAAGTGGCTACGGGTCAGTGTCAAGTACTTAAGAACGTGAGAAGACGAAAGGTACGAGGGAAAAGCGACCCACCATCTTCCCAAGCCAATAAAACTGACTGTTGGTTTGGCGCTTGGATTGCTTTTTGGCCATGTTTGCCGAGCACAGGGTCTGTTGATTTGAGAATAACAGATTTGGGCAAGCCATGTGTGACGAATCGCGGGAGGGTAAGGAATGATGCACTGATGATACAACATATAGTTGGAGATTCCTTGCATGAAATAAACATGGGTGTTTCAAATAGCTAGCATAAATTGTGATGAAGGATGAAGAAGCTAGAAAGACGCTTGAGGCCATGCCTGCCTTTGATGTAGAGTCTGGTGTAACACGTGACCCTGGGTTCTAAAATCAAGGACATTAGAAGTGTTGCACTTCACTGTAGACTCGGCAAGCTGAAACTAACAGGTTTACACGATGAAGAGGATCTCTCTCCCATTAATACTACTATGTATAGATATGAGGAAGTCAGACGCGCATAGCTCCGGGCCATTCGACAAAGCCCATCAATTCACACATTTCCTGGGCATACGAAATTACCCTACTTTTGGTTTTGACCGCTTGACCAACTCTTTTAACCATGTGCTCGATATCTGCTGCTGCTTCCATCCGTGCTAAGTCACAAGGATACTTTACTTACACCCTACCGCCCAAAGACGATATATACTTCCCCCTCTCCACGCTTGAATACAAGTACGGCTTTGAACCCTGCGGAAAGGTCCCGTCGGCTGCCCAAAGATCAATAAGGTACTGCATGGGCTCCAGCTCTTCAGGTCGTAACATGTCCAGCGTAGTGGCCGTAAGAATGAAGTGGCTAAAGCAACTATTCAGCTGCTTCTCCAGGTTGAAGTGGTAGAATGGATCGACAAAATGGTTCCAATATAAGTGAGCGTACACGCGAAAGATTTGGCGAAAGATGAGCTGCGCGGTGCTGGCAAAGTGTTTTGGGAACCCACTTCTGCTACCCGGCCATTCTTCGACGGGATCTTGGTGGAAGAGGTGTGCTGCCGCCGGGGAAGGGCATTCCTGGTGAAGGGCAAAAGAAACACCGTCCGGATCGGTAGGAAACGTGGAGTTATCGTCAATTTTCCCCGAGATCCATCGTTGCATGAGAGTCATGTATTCGTTGGCGGAGAGGTCTACGGGCTCGTGGTGCTTGTTGAGCCAGGTATATGACCGGTTCCTGGGGCGTTTTTAGCTAAGGGGAAAGCGCTGTGTGGTATTGGAGGTCTTGGGAGGGACGGATTCTTACTCTCCGGCTGACATCTTGGGACAGCTTGATTTGTTGCAAATGGCGGCTTTGCTGTTGTCTTCTTTCTCGTGGACCACTCGGACAAAATTCCACAGGATACGGTAATGCTCAACCACTTAGCTTTGTTAGTCCGCCCATTCATGTCTATGTCTTGACGCAGAATGCAGTATAACTAACGTACCTTGATGTGCTATCCACTCTCCCTGCTCGACAGTCTTTGGCCGAGCACTCAATGTCATCAAGTTCCCTTTGACAATATGCTTGGAGCACGCAGGATTCAGCCACAATGGCAAAGGTCGAGGCCAGTCGACGGTCGGCGGCGTGATGCCCATCGACTCACTCAGTGACGGAGACTGCGGGAGCGAGATCCTCGGCGCCGAATTCGATGGCCTAAGTCCGCCGAGGATGGGTTCATCGCCAGAAATGATGGCGTTCGCATGTTCTGTTCTTGGTGCAGCTCTCATGCGAGCGTTGCTGTGTTGTATTAGTCAACGACGGGAGTTTGTATTGAAGCCGAGAGGGTGGCCAAGTAAAGCTACTCACAGCCCCGAAAATAGATTCGACATGATGTGTCCCTTTTACCCTCGATTACCAAAACATGATGTTGAACAAGACTGACAGAACCAGGGAAAAAGAGGGAGTCGTCAGGGAAGAAGGGTAGCAAAAGCAAGTTCCGCCCGTGCGGCATGTTGACTGAAGGTTGGGCCGTCTGCCTTCCATGTGCCATGGTCGCATCGAGGGGCAGAGAAGCACAGAAACACCAATGGCAATTTGTGCGACTAGAAGGATGCCGCGTCACTTCGCCAAGGTAATTAAACATGGCGTTATAATGTCGGCTGATGGACGGTGAAACGGTGGTTGGGCCAGATGACGTTGCTTGACAGAGTAGGGAGCACATCTACGGCGTTTTTGATCTTAGTCCACTGTTGAACTCTAGGAAAACCCGAGACGAATATGTATACAACACAGTATAAGTGAAACCATGATTTTGTGATAGTTGTATCCCTTTGAGTGTGCGCAGGTGCCTGTTATGTATATGCTCCACTTTTCTCTAGTACTTGCTAAGTACATCGTTTATAACAGGGTAGCTACTTATATGCTTGTAACTTCTAGTATATAAGGCACTTTATTTACCATATATATTCCTAGGTGACTTAAGTATCTTTTAATCTCATGTCTTTAATTGGTTAACATCCTTGGTCGTTACCAAAATGGCACCTGCGCACACTCAAAGGGATGGAGTGCTCTGTGCGCAGTATTGTAGTATGTAAAGTGTTGGGTCAGTTCCTGTAGTCAGTCTATGGCATGTACGGAGTACCCTGACCTCGAAGCGGATCGTGGAGCCGCCGTGGACACCCCGTAAAACTTAAAAGAAAATAATATATAATAAATTTTAAAAGAGAGCTTAATATAATATTAAGGTTAACACTAATTTTCCTTCTCTTTAACCTATTATAAGAAAAAGTAAATTAAGTTACATTATATAGTAAAATAAGGGGTAATATTACTAGGGACACTTTAGGTAGAAATAAGGAGAAATAACAGCAATTAATATAACTAATGCCCTAAATTATCATACAGGTCCTCCGAAAGGGTCTAGTAATTTTCGGCAGCGTCATCTGATGCCTAAGTTTTTAGACGGGTCACGTGTCTATGCTAGCCCCAACAGTTACATAGCCTAGCCTTGTTAAACAACAAGAGAAACAGCCTAGAACAAGTGCCTAACAAAGCCTGGTGACTCAAGTGCTTACATGGGGTAAACTTGTGGCGCAGCACGTGGCGAATTTGTTGCTCAAAAGGCGCTAGTCTCGTCCCGTCCAGGCCCTCGAGTGAATCAACTTCAGAAAAACGTTCATCTCAATTTCAAATTCATTCGCCAACTACCAGCAGATCGAATGCAGGGGTTCGATCAACTAATTGAATCACGAAATTGACGGGGTGTCCACGGCGGCTCCACGATCCGCTTCGAGGTCAGGGTACTCCGTACATGCCATAGACTGACTACAGGAACTGACCCAACACTTTACATACTACAATACTGCGCACAGAGCACTCCATCCCTTTGAGTGTGCGCAGGTGCCTGTTATGTATATACTCCACTTTTCTCTAGTACTTGCTAAGTACATCGTTTATAACAGGGTAGCTACTTATATGCTTGTAACTTCTAGTATATAAGGCACTTTATTTACCATATATATTCCTAGGTGACTTAAGTATCTTTTAATCTCATGTCTTTAATTGGTTAACATCCTTGGTCGTTACCAAAATGGCACCTGCGCACACTCAAAGGGATGGAGTGCTCTGTGCGCAGTATTGTAGTATGTAAAGTGTTGGGTCAGTTCCTGTAGTCAGTCTATGGCATGTACGGAGTACCCTGACCTCGAAGCGGATCGTGGAGCCGCCGTGGACACCCCGTCAATTTCGTGATTCAATTAGTTGATCGAACCCCTGCATTCGATCTGCTGGTAGTTGGCGAATGAATTTGAAATTGAGATGAACGTTTTTCTGAAGTTGATTCACTCGAGGGCCTGGACGGGACGAGACTAGCGCCTTTTGAGCAACAAATTCGCCACGTGCTGCGCCACAAGTTTACCCCATGTAAGCACTTGAGTCACCAGGCTTTGTTAGGCACTTGTTCTAGGCTGTTTCTCTTGTTGTTTAACAAGGCTAGGCTATGTAACTGTTGGGGCTAGCATAGACACGTGACCCGTCTAAAAACTTAGGCATCAGATGACGCTGCCGAAAATTACTAGACCCTTTCGGAGGACCTGTATGATAATTTAGGGCATTAGTTATATTAATTGCTGTTATTTCTCCTTATTTCTACCTAAAGTGTCCCTAGTAATATTACCCCTTATTTTACTATATAATGTAACTTAATTTACTTTTTCTTATAATAGGTTAAAGAGAAGGAAAATTAGTGTTAACCTTAATATTATATTAAGATTTTATAATTAATCTCTAGCACTTATTTTAAGTCTTAGTAATTACACTTTTAATAGCTTTATTATAAGATTAAGTTATAATAAATTAAGTTATATAATCTATTATTATTAATATATAAGCGTTTTTATTTTAAGCTATAAGTATAATAAGCCTTAAATAATTTATAGTTATTAAGTTTCATAGTTTTAAAATAATAATTATCTTAAAATTAGCTTTTAATAAGTATCTTTTAATTTATTAGTATATTAGGTAAGAATAATAATAGGTTTTCACGTCTCTTAATTAATTTAGCTAAAAGTTTTTAATTAAAAGAATCTCTCTCTTAGTTTTTATATAGTAATTTTTAGCTTAAAATATCTTAAAGTATTATAAGCTTATTAAATTCTCATTAATATATTCTTTATAAAAGTATATTTTATTAAAGATTTATTTTACTTT